CAGCGCTGCAGGGGGCTGTGCCGCTGCCCTGGTGAGCTGTAAGCACCCAGAGTGCGTGGCCTGAGGATGCCTGAGCGAAGCAACGTTTGATAATCAGCCCCAAAGTTGCGCTCAGCATCATTTGCTGTCCGTCTTTTGCAGGTTATGACATTACCCCTGCACGTTCTCTCGGGAAGGCCTGGAGCAGAAGGAAGTCGCCACTTGGGTTTTTTTCCCCATCCCCTATGAAGCACCAGGTTTTAAGGCTGCGCTTCTGCAATGAAGAAAAGGAGGCGGCACGCGGCAAATCTAAGTGAAAAGGTTCATCTCGGCCATGAGAAGGACGCTGCGAACCAGATCCTTGTGGTAGGCTGCGAGCAGGGAATTGTGTCTGCGCCTGCAGAAGCAGCCCCTGCAGATCACCTTGAGTCTTCTCCAGAACTCTCACCATCATCAGAACAAAGAAAGCTCCTCAGCTCATTGCAGTACAACAAAAATCTCCTGAAGTACCTAAATGACGATAGACAGAAGCATCCGTCATTTTGCGATTTACTCATAATTGTAGAAGGCAAAGAATTTAGTGCTCACAAAGTTGTAGTGGCTGTTGGAAGTAGTTATTTTCATGCCTGTTTGAGCAAAAATCCAAGCACTGATGTTGTCACGTTAGATCATGTAACTCATTCTGTCTTTCAGCATTTACTTGAGTTTCTGTACACCTCTGAGTTTTTTGTATATAAAAATGAAATTCCATTAGTGCTGGAAGCAGCAAAATTTTTAGATATCATCGATGCTGTCAAGCTACTAAATAACGAGAGTGTTTCTAACATACAATCTGAAGTGGTAACTGATGCCCCGACGCCAGTAGAAACACTCAATGAATTGACTGGTAAACTGTTAAATAGTCACCAGTGCAGTTTTTGTGGACGAAACTTCTGTTACAAGAAGTCCTTAGAAAATCACTTGACTAGGGCCCACAGATCTCTTTCACTGGAAAGAAAACATGGGTTAAAAATGGTTGAGAAGGCTGATTTTTCCACTAGGCGATCTACAAGAAACCGTAAATGTCCAGCTAAGTTTGATAACAGTGACAATGAAAGTGGTGACTTTTCTGACAGCAATTTGGAAAAAGTCAGCTCTGACAAGGACATGTCAGATAGAAGCGAATCTGAAGACAGTGAAAGTGACTGCAATGCTGATGAAGAAGGACAGGAAGAGGAGGCATCAGGTGAAGAAGATTCAGAGACTGAAGAGCAAAGTGAGAAAGAGCATAATGATACAGAAGAAGGTTCCGAGGCAGTTGATTTGGTGGGAAATATTCCTGAAGGCTTAGCTCCAGTAATTATTCAAACCAGTAGCAAAAAACTACTGCAGTGTCCCAAGTGTGACAAAAAATTTGATCGAATAGGTAAGAGCATGTTAGGCTGATTGTTTTTTGGTGCATGGTTGTACTATCTATCTGGGAAATAAGCAGTTTCTCTTTTCTACACAATGAAGATTTTCTGGGTTTTTTCCCCCCTGCAACCCAGTATGATGCCAATTTTTCTACGTGTATAAACTGTTCTGTCTTTGGTGCTCATCAACATGAATAAATGGACTAGTTGCACTTGATAAAAATCTAAAAATATTAAATTCATTACATTTTTATTTTTCTAAATTCTGGTAATTAGAATAGTATATGAAGCAGCCTTGAAAAGGGAGGGAATAACAAGGTGTAAAATGTGAATTGCTTGAAGTCTGTAATTGTATCATGTTTTCCTCTAAATTAATTTCAAGAAACTAGGCTCAAGTTTATTATTACTGTACTAAAGCAGCATTAATGGCACAGCCTGAAATTCTTCTGTTTTAGGTGATGCTCAAGACCTAGTCACTCTGGCCTTTACCTTGATTTTCATGGACTATGGTTAACACAGAATAATATTTTGGCTGCCTAATCTGATTTATTAGGCCAGTGTTTGTTACAATCAGATCTAGATGTGGTAGTTGGTCCAAATATGCGAGGAGTCAAAGCTGCAGTCGTGGCTCATCCAAAGCTTTCCCATTCTCTGTTTCTTTGTTAAAGATCTTCCTTTATATACTACTGCATTCTGGATTTAGTATTTTTGTTTTCTTTCAACTGGAATGCTTACTGTTGAATTATGGCTGTTGCAGGTAATGACTCCATTTAGTTTAGGGGAAGTGGAAAAGAAATAGTTTCTCATAGTGTTAGGTGCATTTATTTTAACTACTTATATGATAAATTCGTTGTGTCATTCATGATTTGGAAAGTTTTAGGGTTTATGAAAATGGAGTGTGTCTGGTATGTGTGTGTATTAATTCCCACTAAAAGTCCAGCTTGCTGTTTGTTGCTCAAATAGTGGTCTAATATGAATGTGAAAGTAGGTCTTATTTTCCTGTTACCAAAACAAAACAACAAAAAAACAAAAACACTTCACCATAACAAATATTTTATATTCATGAATTGTTTTATCTTTTCTATACTGCTCTTCATTTTTTAAAGCACTTGACAAGCATTACCTAGTTGAGCTTTACAACAGTTGGCTAAGTAGCATTATCAAAGTTTTACAGATGGGAATACTGAGGTGAAATGAGTTGTCTGAGGTCACTGATTATATAACAGTAACTATTCAACATAAAAAGGTGAGACTTAACCTGTAATGCCATATCTTAAATAAAGACAGAAATTTTCCTGAATTTGAGGACTTTGATATTGAAAATCTACTGTGCTTGTAAAGATTTAGGACTGTAATGATATGTTTTGATCTGATACACAGTGGAAGTCCTTTTCTTTTTGCATTTTCATAACTTACAGTTCTAGGTTTTACATGAAAACAGAGAGAGTGGCATTAAATCAAATAATACTTAGTGAACCTCATAAGCTTATATTGCTGTAAAACATTGATTTGTGTTTTATGCTTTACAGCTTTGCTGCTTTTTAATCTAAACACCTAGAAATATGATGCATAATACACCAGAAAAGAACAGTTCAAAATGGACATCCTACAATAGACTATACATAGGTAGATCCTCAGTGTAGGACTGAATTCTGTCCTTAGGAAAGTCAGTGATAAGCAGAAGAGAGAATACAGGCAGTGTGAAAGACCTGAGAGAGCAGCACTTAATATAATATCTTGGGTCCTAAATACAGATTACTTGCAAGTTTTGATATTGTTTGTTGAGTCTTGTTATTTGAAGAGCCTTGCCTTTAATTATTCCCTTGTTACACAGTTGTTCCTTGTTCTGAAGTGATATTTCATAAATCAATATAATGAAAAAGTGTTTTATCTTTCCGTACTTAAGGACAGAGTGTGCTCTAGGGACAAAGGGCATCAAACTCTAGCGTAGGATTAAGAGTAATACAGAAGTATTTTGGTTTTACTCCTATCTTGAAAATAGGTAAAGTGGAAGTTTTTAGAGGAACCTTAGTTTAAAGCTTTTAGGAGAACCTGTGTAATCACTGCATAGTTCTCATCTGCAAATCAGTAAAACAGTAGAACTCTTTAGATTTGTGCAGAAGATACTTAGATTGGTCGTATTTAAGAGCCAATGGAATGAGCTCCAATGCGTGCATATTGTAGAAAAAATCTGTTATAGTTTGTGTTAATAAGTTTTTTTTTATTATTATTATATTTTGTAGGCAAGTATGAGAGCCATACACGTGTACACACGGGTGAGAAGCCTTTTGAGTGTGATATATGCCATCAGCGCTATTCAACCAAGTCCAACTTGACAGTGCACAGAAAGAAACACTCTGGTGATACTGACTTTCATAAAAAGGAGCACAAATGTCCCTACTGCAATAAGCTGCATGCAAGTAAGAAGACTTTAGCAAAACATGTGAAGAGGCAAGTATGAGTGCTTTTGTCTTGTATGTCCGAGGAAACATTTTCCCATTTCAAAACGGAAGATAAATATATGCATGTGCACACACACACACATGTGCACACACACTCAAGCAAACTTTCTGCTTAAAAACAAAGCAGAAAGCTTTCAAAATAAAAACTCCATTTTCAAAAGACGGGGATTAGCCATATTGTGCCTTACCTAGCACATAATGGACATGGAAATGGACTAACAACAATTGCAGAGCAGTTCTGTCATGACAGTTCTATCATTGTTTTTACTATAAATGTTAGCATGTCTATTAAGCTAACTGTTGGGCATAATAGTCTTAGCAAGTACCTTTGTTTTTTAATTCAGTGAAAGAATAAAAGATCTTGCCTGTTTTTGCATGCGGATGTTACGCAGGTGATGATAACGTACAGACAAGCTATTTCCTTACAGATTCCTTTAGGTGAATGAATTGTTTGTGGCAGATGTTATTCTACAATATTATTTACATGTTACTCCTCTCTCTTTCCTTTGTAAAGACCCATAAACCGTTATAGTTGAAACATTGCTTACCCATTACTGTAAGCAATTCTACAGGATGTTATATAAGTCAGCACTGCTCTACAGTTTTTTTATTCTTCAGGACTGAATACTTAATATTCGGTTCTGCTGGTCTGCTGATACTTTTCATAAAATAGCAACTATAGAGATGGACATTCAGTATTTGATTTTGTCGAGGAAAGTTATAAATACTTATTTACAAAGAAAGGAATCAAATATAGTCTGGATTTAATATTTCAATTAGAACTTCTTGATCAAGTGTTTGCAAGCAGGTAAATATATCCTTGACCTTATGTTCATCTATTCCATTAAATTCATGATAATTTCTTCATTTCCTGTCCAGACTGCATTTATATCTGAACTGTAACACTTTTTTTTTCTTTTTTTTCCCCGGTCAACTCTTTTGATGACTGATGGGGAACTGAAAAGAACTGGAATGAGTGCCTCTGTTTAACTGCTAATTAATATGAAAACACTTCTGGTCAATTTCTCAGCTTCTGTCTTTCTTCTAGGTTTCATCCAGAGAATGTACAAGAATTTCTTTCTCTCAAGAAGACAAAGAGTGAAGGTTGGAAATGTGATGTAAGTAGTACTTCAGCCTTTCTAGGGCTTTCATTTGCATTTCATTTTCATAAAGTTACTATTTTATTTTGCAACTTTATTTAAGTGAAAATATGCTATGTGTTTTTTGCACAGCTTTGTAAGCCATTGTATGAATTTATTCTGTATGCAATGAAATAAAAACTGAACTTTATTCTGTATATAAAACTGTATATATTCAGTGTATTCTGTATATACTATGCAGTGGCAGAAGAGCAATTACCAAGCTGCATTCTACAGTAGTTTTCATGCAATACATTTTTTCATGTGATCCACTATTACCTTTATTATAATGTATTTATTTGCAGGCTTCAGAGTTATGAGTAATTAAACATCAGAGTTTGGCTTTCCCATTAATTATGAACTTTATATACTGACCATAACATATACTTTTTTGGGAGACATCCTCAATAGCGATGTAAACATATGTTAATTATAAGACATTTTCTCACTTATCTGCATGTACATGTTAACAGATGTAAGTATGTGCTAGATCTGTATCTGCATATGAAATCATAGAATCCTTTCCTTCATTTCCCCCAGGAGAGGGATATGTGAAATTATATATGCACTATTTTTGCTTTCTTTGTAAGGAATCAGTATTCTTTTCCTGGGCAGACAGATGTTTTGTTTATGCTAACTGCTGTATGTCCAGAAGGTTTTAGAGATAGGTGCTATAACATGACACAGTTATTAATACTGCTGTATTTATAAATGTTGCTTTGTTAATAATTTTCCTGTAAAAATGTTTATAGTAGGATACTGGGAATTTTTCTGTAGGAATTATTATTGTTCATTCTGCAGGTGATGTACCAGAGGCTGTTACCTTGCAGACTGTGTTATTTTATATGAGCATCTTACAGATTTCTTTTGTTTATAACTGTGAAACTATTTAAAGGAGGGAACTAACATTTTACAGAGTCAATATTTCCTTCTTGGAAAGCATTTTTATCAGATGAATGCTTCAGTGAGCTCTTTGCATGTGTTTGTTTTTTCTTAAGTGAAATTTTTCAAAATGTGGAATTTTTAAAAAGATGCTGCTTATGTGCCTCTAGCAATGTGCACTGGAAATGGATTTTGAAGGAAAATGGACTTGGGAAAAAGCTGTGTAACAGCTTTCTGCCATGGTCCCACAGATTAGTTTCAGCATCCAAAAGTAGGACAAATCCAATTTTTTCAGTTGGGTTATTTTCTGCTGAGTTACCATGTTGAAACACCCTAGGAAAGAATGCTGTATGTTGGAGTCACTAGAAAGACTGACAGTGAAGCATGTGGCTGTTTGTAGGAGTAGTCAGTAGCCTGAGTCAGCCTGATTTCTATGACCAGTTATTAGGCTTTATGTAAGGCAAGTTGCAAATTGAGAGGAAGTATGCTCTTTAAAAATACATGTTTTGTTTAATTTTACATTGTGGCAGACTGCAGATGGACTAAACTTACAAAGTTTTTTTAAATAGAGGTAAAAAAAACTTGTTTATAACTGATGCATTTTTGACCCAAGTGTATTATTGTTTTAGATTTGTAAGAAATCTTTCACTCGAAGACCCCATTTAGAAGAACATATGATTCTTCACTCTCAGGATAAACCCTTCAAGTGTACCTACTGTGAAGAGCACTTTAAATCACGATTTGCAAGATTGAAACATCAAGAAAAATTCCATCTCGGTATAGAAACCTCCTTCTGACATGTAAACAATAGATTTAACGTAAAAACCTCATCCACTCGTATATGGCCTGATCAGCCTGGTTTTTATCCTCCCCATGTCTTTTCCAATTACTTCCTTTTGAGGGGTTGTATTATAATATATAAATGCAAATATATCTATAAATGCAAAGCTCGAAGGGGAACGAGTGGTGAGGTTTGTTTTAATACTGTGTTTTGAGTAGATTGGTTATTGACTGTGGAGTGAGATTTTCCTGAAGCTTTACAAAGACCCTTTTCCTACTGAGAAAAACATTTCTGTCAGTTAGGAACTAGGAAATAGATGAATGACAGTAATGGAAATCTATTTTCTGGAATAGTCTGATTACACTTAATCATTTTTGTCTACTAATGCTAAATTTTTTGCTTTACAATCATGATCCTTGTCAAAATTCCAAGTTTTTGCAATAGTTATTCTAAGTGAAATTACAAGTAGTTTAAGTATGCTAACTATATTATAGAAGTTAATCCTTTGTTAGATAAAACCCTTGCTGTGTAAATTGATCAGGTTTTTCACAAGTCGCAAATCTGTGCATCTTCCTTGGTTGAACTGATAGTTAATGTTCTGTGCGTCTGTCTCCTTACAGGGCCTTTTCCTTGTGATATCTGTGGCCGTCAGTTTAACGACACGGGGAATCTGAAGCGCCACATAGAATGTACTCACGGAGGAAAGAGGAAATGGACATGTTTCATCTGCGGCAAATCCGTTAGGGAACGGTAAGGAATTACCTAACTGTTTGAACATTAGTAAAACAGAGAATTATGTGGCATGCTTAGATTCTGAATGTATTTTGGCTTTGAGTTTTTAAGGTAAGCGAGTTTCAAAGGATTAGGGTATCAGAAAGTAGTATCAGAACCACAGGTTGCACAGGTTCTGATAACACCTAAATACAAGGTTGGTAAATGTAGGGTAACTACAACTCAACAGGTAGAGTTGTATTGAGAGTTGTCTTCAGTTGAGGTGATTGTGTTGTGTGAGAAGATCTTTCCTTTCTTTTGGAAAGAGTTTTCTTCCATATGCATTTAGGCAAATACATTGATGAGGACTGGAAGATGAGGAGCATTTGATGAGAATGACTAAGAACAAACTGTTTCTGTAAACACAGTTTGACAAAAGATGGAATATTACTGTAAAATCTTTATCACTTCTTCCGTAAAGGAAGAAAAACTTCGTTATTTTTTGTTAATTTCTAAAAATGAAAGTTCTAAATACTGAGTAAAAGGCCTGTTATACTCTTGTCCATGTACATAGTTCTAAATAATAATTAATAGAGGAAACAGAATAAACTCTTTAATGTAGTTCAGTCTATGAATACGTTGTAATGCATAGAAGTTGCAGAAATAACTTTCTCCTTTACCCATGAACTCATTTTCTATTCTAGGTGTATTGAGAGGGGAAAAAAAAAAAGTGAATTTTAAGCAGTTGTTCACAAGGCTTCAGTGCATGTATTTTATTCTGCTCTTTATTAAGGATATGTTAACTTTTCCAATGACTGGCAAAAAAACCCTGAAGTGTTATAAAAGAAAAGCTTGACCCTAAGAGGTTATGTTTGGTATGTATTTTCTAGTAGCTTCATAAATGGAGTATGCAGGTGTTAATATAAAATGTACTAACGCAATATTGAAGTAGTAAGTGGTTAGTCTTTCTATTCTGTGAAGCACATTCTGTACCGTAAGGCAAACATCTCCATGTTTCAAATTTCATTTAAATTATACAATGTAGTTAAATATTTAAATGTTACTATCATGGAATCACAAACAATGCTATCATTAGGAATCACAAACTCTTAATGGAAAGCATGAGAAGTATCTTTGACAAATAATATTTAATAGTGGTATGAGATCTAAGAACTTTCTGTTTTGCTTAGTGTACACACATGCGCACATGCCAACTCTCTATAAAGTAAATTTTATTATCTGCTTCCTTCTTTCGAATTTTCACTTTTTTTTTCTTTTTATATTTGGAAGGTGATAGTAGAAGTAAACTTACATATCTATGTGTATGTATATATGTGTACATAACTATATGTGATAAATATTGTTATAAAATATGAACACATAAATATATGTTTTTATATTTTAAATAAACTCTGTACTGAATTAACTTGAATTAGGATCCATGATCTGGATTCCTTTTATTTTCACTTCAAAGCTGTGCTTAATATTCTTAATATCTACATTAAACATAATGCCCTTTAGTCATTCTAAACAGGAAAAATATAGTCATTTTAGTTACTTAAGTCACATCAAGTTTAAGATGACAAATACCTCGAGCTAGCTGAGGGTGTGTATAAATCTTCAATAAAATAATAGAAATCAGTAGTAACAAGGAGATCATCATGTTAGAAAATACTGTCCAAACTGATGTTTTCTTTAATGTATGTAGTCCAAACATATGCTTACACAATGTGCTGCTTTAATTACCTTGTTTCTTGAGCCAGCTTGTTTAGCGAATAGCTTGGTGCATTACATTTGAATGTATACATATTTATCTCTCTAAATTGAGCCAGTTATTGGATACATTGCAATCCGTCAGAGTTAAAAAATACTTAGAACATGAAATTCTCTTCAAAGTGGCAGTGATACCGAGTGCTTACAGTTACGTTTTGCTGCCTTTGTTGCGCAGCACAACTTTGAAAGAACACTTGAGAATTCATAGTGGAGAGAAGCCTCATCTTTGCAGTATTTGCGGGCAGAGTTTTCGTCATGGAAGCTCTTACAGGTACAGATTTTTAGTATATTGAGATGCTGAAGTGTCTTTTATTTCTTAATTTATGTGTGCTCTTTATGGAAGTATTTTTTTAAGGTATGTGTTTTATTTATTCTTATGCCAGGAGCATTAGTAAATGCTTTAAAAATGTTTAAATATTGAAAATATGCTAGTCTTTTGTGAAAAATCTTTCAAATGTTAACACAAGATATGCTTGTGTTCTGTTTGTAGATAGAATGCCATGTGAATCTTGTATCAAAGTTTACTTTCTTGTACATCTAAAACTATGTCTCTTATTCAAGAAGAAGAAAGCTGAGGAGTAAAATGTCGTGCTAAATTAGCTTCAGATAGGAAAGTTCAGCTGTGTTCTCTCTTGCTATTTTAGCAGTTAAGACTATCTTAGTTGAAAGCTACTTCCCAACATTTGTGTGAGCTATGAAAGAAAGAGAATTCTTGTATCCTGCACTGAAGTTGATTATATGTATAGATTATTTTTTTTTTTTTTTTTTTAAAGTGGTGGTTACATTTGGTGGTTACATTTATGACCACAATCATGCTAATTTCAACCAGTGACATGGAAGTGTTTTTCTCTGTTTTAATACAGGCTTCATCTAAGAGTCCACCATGATGACAAGAGATATGAATGTGAAGAATGTGGGAAAACCTTTATTCGGCATGACCATCTGACAAAACACAAAAAAATACACTCAGGTAGGCATTTTTGAAAATCATTTCAAAATTGCTATTTTGAAAAAAACAAATGTAAGTGTAATAGGAAAATTATCTTTTGTTTGTTTTTTACAGTACATATAATATTTTTGCCATGATAAATGTTCCTTGTTATTTTTAAACTGCTGAAGTAGGATTAATCCGCTTATATGTTTTGAAGGTTTAAAAGCCAAATGTTTCCTCCATGTTAACATAAAAAGCTGAGGGACAGTCAAAAACATGTAACAAAAATATGTGACACAGAATTGTTTAATTAAAAAAAAAAAAGCAAAAGTGAAAAAGGAGGATTTTTATGAGTTTGGATTTCTTTTTTTAATAGCAAGTATCTGAAACATACCACAACACAGAAGAAGCTGTCAAAATCTCTGTCAGAGTTTGTACACTGATCACTTTAATGAACATCAACAGGGTGTTCTCTTTTCAGAGAAGGAGGAAGGGGGGGAAAAAAAGGAAGATAGTGGGGGTCAACCTTGAGAAAAGGAAGAGGGAAATGGTCACGAGGAAGAAAGCACTTTAAAAATCTTTATATTTCAGTGATAGCAGGAAGGTTATCAGATCTATAGGAGAGGGGAACATCCAGTGGAGAATTTTCCTTTTGCAGAACAGGATCCCTTGGGATCCTGTTGCTTTGTAGGTGTTTCAAGAATCATGAACATATGCAAGTGATCAGAGTCTAAACTTCCTGAGCCATTATTTTGAAGGACAGCTTCTTTTTTAGTGTTTGCAATCATGTCTGCTATAAAATAAAGAAATCTTTGAAAACTCAAGAACCAAAAAAAAAAATCCTCTTTTCTGCTCTATTTGCTTTTTCCCTCCTCTAGAAAGTTACATTCTTTGACTGTCCACAATCCTCCTGCTTACATGCGAAGAAACATTCTTCCACTTTGTAGAAGATCTCAAGATGACTAAAAAGAATCAAGATACTTTTAAACAGCAGCATAAAAGAAAAAGGTAAATATGTAAAACAGGCTAATTAAAAACCCACTTAGATGTAATTTTAAGCTCTAGAAATTAATGGCTGAAAGTAAGTTGTATGTTTAAATAAGCTTCTGTTTTAGAGCCTCTTGGGTATGAATTTTTGAACATACAACATTGCAGGATGTAAGAGAATGGTTTCCTAGTAATTGTTTCAAACCTCCCTTTTCTTCTCATGCAGTGGGTATTTGGGGAAGTGTCCCCCTAACTAATGAGCATGAATTGCTACATAGGGCCTCAGGAAAGGTCAGAAATAGGCATAAAAAAAGAGTGGTAAAAAATCCTATTCTGATAGAACTAGCCATACATCCTGATCTTTATCCTCTGGTAACACAGGATCTTTTGGTATAAATGCTGAAAAAGGTATGGAAGAGCTTGATTGCCTGGACTTTGGTCATGCATACGGCTATGTTGTATGTATTACAATTGCAGCTCTTACACATTTAAAAAGATAGCAAAAGTTCTAGAAGTTTAATAAAATTCTGTTGAATTTTGCCCTTAAAGGTGAAAAAGCACATCAGTGTGAGGAATGTGGAAAGTGTTTTGGTCGTAGAGATCACCTCACTGTTCATTATAAAAGTGTTCATCTAGGGGAAAAAGTTTGGCAGAAGTAAGTATGTTTTTGGTAACTGCATAAGCACTTTTGTACTATAACTGAACTTTTGTTATGACTTGTACATTCATGCAGGGTTGTAGTGGTCTGTGTTTGTCATGATTTACTTTAGTTCTTGGTAGAGATATCATTATGGTTTGAAATAGATGCTGGAAAATTATATTCACTATTTAAACAACACTTGGTAACATGATTAAGGAAATAGAACTTGATAACCAAATTTTAATCCTGTAGAGGCTGTCTTACTGTTGGTCTGCATAGATGTTTTGCTATAATATTTCTTACTGTTTAGTTAAGACTAAATTACCAGCTTTCATTTAGGCACTGTGAAAACTCTCCCACACCTGCCTATTTTAGAAGTTGGTAGTAGTTTATTAGTTTGAAAGTAGGTAAAAGTTATGAAGCCGTAAGTGTGTGTGTGTTTATAGAGAGACTGAAAATACAGTATGGTTTTTAATTCTTCCAAAAATAAGCCTTTCAGAGATTTTTCAAATGAAAAATGGAAACCTATTTTTTTCAAATAATGTATTTTAAATGTTTTTCTTTGCATAACACTATAATTTTTTTTGTGGGTCTATTTTATGTTTGTTTGTTTGTTTGTTTTTTCCCTTTCATAGCAAGTAGCCTAAACCATTGTTAATACTTAACTTATGGCATAATTTTGTCTTTGTCTTTTAATCCAGCAGAGAATAATAGTGAATATAGAAAAGAACTTAAATGATATAATTGATACATGTTTTTATATATATATATATATATGGTGGGAAATATGAATGCAGGTGAAGAAATGTGCAAACTTTGAAATTCAGCTATTTTGCAGTTAAGATTTTCTAAAAGCTCTGTGGTTATAGTGTTAATGTTCTTATTTAAAAAAAATAACATGAAATATGTTTTCTTCTTTAAAGATACAAAGCAACATTTCATCAATGTGAAGTCTGTAAGAAAGTTTTTAAAGGGAAATCAAGTTTGGAAATGCATTTTAGGACACATTCAGGTAAAAAAATATATATGTGTAGGAGTCTGTACATCAAAATTGATGGAGTTGTTTAAATCATTGTAGCTCTTGAGCACTTGGGGCAAGAGTAGCCATTTTCTTGGTCATATGTTGGCCCTTCCTGAATAGAGTCTTCTGAATATACCAGTTGAAATAGTATGAATCCTCAACACAGAGTTTGTAGTGTGCTCTCTGCACCTCTTCATTAATCTACAGATGCAAATTGCATACGCCTGCAATTTGCAAATTTACCAGACTTTCTAATCAGTTTTGTGGTGCAGGCAATACTAAATTTCGGTTGATAATACAAAGTTTTGAAATCTATTTGGGCAAATTTATGTTTTTATATGTGCTTTGTTACTGTTCATGCCTTGTGTTTCCAAGAGTTATTATCCTTTTGAAATATGGAAAAATATAAATTGAGCTAATTGAATATCAGTATTATACCAATTTAAAGATTATTATTTTTTAATTTGGTTTATATTCTTTGTGTACTTGGCAAAGATCCCAAGTATTGGGGTAACTGATTTAAAGGAAAGGATATACTACTATCATTCTTATTAGGACACTCTTGATTCCCAGATCGCTGACGAACATATTCTTTCTTTGCAGTGGAACTGTTTTTATAATAAGTTTCTATACTATAACACATAGAATGTGTGCATTTCCATAAGTATGTGTGTGAGATGGTTTTACTTAGCATAACCTTTTATCTTTAATTCTTAGTTTTGCTTCTTCCTAGGTGAGAAACCATACAAATGTCAAATCTGTAATCAGTCTTTCAGAATTAAGAAGACGTTAACAAAACACATGGTTATTCATTCAGATGCTCGACCTTTTAATTGCCAGCATTGCAACGCAACATTTAAACGAAAAGACAAGCTGAAGTATCATATTGATCACGTGCACGGAACGAAGGCTGCAGAGGAGGCGCTGACATCTTCTTCAGAGGAAAAGCTAGTTTCCGTACCAGTCCAGTACACGTCTGATGACAAAGTTTACCAAACGGAGGATAAAGAGTATGTGGAACAGTCAAAAGCATATCAAACAGAAGCTAAAAGTTTGCTGCAGAATGTAGCTCCAGAAGTGTGCGTGCCGGTGACATTGGTGCCCGTTCAGATGTCTGAGCCGCCCGCGGCTCTGGTGCAGCACCCTGCTCAGCCACACGCCATGCTCCCTGCCCAGCCCGAGCAGGCGGACTATCAGCGAGCCCCGGATTTATCATTTTTGGAGAAATACACCCTCACTCCACAACCTGCAAATATTGTTCATCCTGTAAGGCCCGAGCAAATGTTGGATCCCAGAGACCAGTCATATCTTGGAACTTTACTGGGGCTAGATGCAGCTCCTACTGTGCAAAATATTTCAAACAATGAACATTCATGATCTGACCATAACATTCCACCTAACTTTCTAAGCCATTAGCCAACAGAAGGCTGATATGGCAATCAAGATTTATATTTCATTTGGACTCATGAGTCTTCTGCATAGTTTTGGAAAAACAGGTTTGTTTACATAATATTTGAACATATAGGCACACTTTTATGCATATCAAGAGAGTGTTTCTTGTTAAGAGTTTTTAAAAAGCTTACAGATGGTCTTTTAAAAAAATATGCTCCGAAATACCTTTTAAGGTTAGTTTGCCGAAAAATCTAATTACATATGTGACTATTAATTTAAAATTGTTGGCCTTTCTGCATCTCACAGAGTAAAAGAATAAGGGTTATGTCCAGTTCATTAAAAGTCGTAATGAGGATCAGGGGGCAGGAATATTACAAAAAAAAAAATCAATTTGCGCTTTACATATAAATTAAAATATAATTGAACCCTCAAACATTTTTAGGGGATTTAAATTCTGCCTGACGGTTAAGGCTAGCCACTGGACACCAGAACTAGATTCTTCTAGAAACTAATTCAGATACTCTCACGTCACCAAGCAGAATGCTGTAAAGACTCCCCAAAGTAAGAAAATCAAATATAGAGAGATTAGGCTACCTAAATCAGGTTTCTTATTTATTCCTTGGTCTCCAGTGTTACATATTGAATTGTGTCTGAGAATTTAGACATCAGTATTGCCTAATTTTCTAAAGATGGTTCTATATAAATTTTTGTCTTTTTTCTTGCTTCTTTATTCTTCCTTTTTTTTTAAAGTGTGCCCAACACTATAACTTTGAGAGAAATCATAGTATTTGCAAAGTCATTTTAACCTATGAAGAGTAATAAAGGATTGGCATGGCTTATCCTTGTTAGAGCATAAATTTTGCTTTAATGTCTTACTACCATGCTCAGTTTCAAGTTTTGCAATGAAAAAAAAATTTAAAGGCTATTATTTCCAGCATAGCACTCTACTTTTATTTAAAGAAATAAATAATAATTACAAATCTCTCATGAGTTGCTAACACAATGTTCTGTTTTGTGTTTCAGTTTCTTTTTCTATGGTTATAAAACAAAGTCGAACTCTTGAGAGTATTCCATATCTTTAATTTTAACTTTTTCTCTACTAAATGTAACAGTTTTTTCAAAAGGAACCATTTTGTAGTAGAAGTTTAGCGTAACTTATAATGAAATCTAGTGTTACTTAAGCACACATCAAATTGTCTATTTTAAGCATTCTCTAAAAATGATATTCTCTGTGCTGATTAGGTCAAGATTATGCCAAAGAAATTATGGGAAGTCATATTTTCCTTTTAATTATTCCTCATAGGAGTTACATTCTAAGGCAAAGTTTTCCCCAGTTTCCTCAGAAATCTGCTATTCTTACTACTTTAAAGAAATTTTATAGTAAGGTTGTAAAACGGGAAACCGGAAGTATGGGTGTTACTGTGAGCAACTTAAATTTATCCAAAGGCCTGACTACAAATGGTCTGTGATGAAAAGTTCTTTTATCAGCCCAGTTCTATAAACACTGATCATTTTAAGTTCCATTTAAGTACTTTAGATGCCAGGTTCTTTTAATGCCCATCTACTTCAGTACTGAGCAGGTTGTGAGAGAGGGGCCAGGGCTGCCTGAATGTTCTTGTTTTGATGCTTGTACCCTAATGGATTCTTACCTAAACACACCAAAGATTTCTGTTAGCTGTTAAATAGTGAAAAAGTTATAGAATTTAAGTGTTATCAATATTTAAATAGGACTTATCCAAAGAAGCACAATAGAAGTCCTAAACTTTAAAAGTTCAGTTTTTAAAACAGGACTGTGTATGTTTAACTGTTCTATGTTTGTATCTCTAAAGCAAAATTTAGAGCTGTGCTCTGGGAATGTGCAGACTGACATGCTGTAAATGTATCTGGTAAGAAGCTGAGTACTAGCTAATACACAGCAATAATTAGGCCATTGAATGCCACCTTCTGAAAGGACGCTATCAAGTACTATCCTTCCGGCCTGCTGTCTCCACCTTCATCTCTTTTAAAAGATAAAAACACTTTTGCCATCGTTATACTTCATAGTAATTTCATCTGTAGTGTTCAAACTGACAAATATGTGTTATATTTGTACCACTGCATGTGGACATGAAACAAGTGATTTACAGCATTTATAATTGTACCATTCAGAATGGATATTGATGTACCATTGACATCAATAGTGCCAGTACAGTTCTCAGATTAAAAAGCTTAATCTTTATTGTTATTCCACAATAGGATTGTAGGATTTTAACTGAACTGTGGCTTAAAAATAGTTAGCAACTATTTTTTTCTTTTAAAATACAGTCAGTCTGGAAGGCACTATGGTTAAAATGAAATTAGGAGCATATTTACTTGATAATGTCCTTTTAAAGTGTTTCATGATTGTGCCTTTTATATTTACTCTGAATGCTGGCTTTTTCTTTAGTTCAGTTGGTTATTAAGATCATTACATTAAGGTTAGTATCTTCTAAAGTGCTTCGTGGTTTTTGGGTGCCCAAAAAGAAACAGGCTGTAAAAGAACTTCTTATTCAGGAAAAAAAGCACCAACTTTTAAATTGCTAGCCATTCGTATTAAAAAATGACCTACTAGTTCTTTGGCACTCTTTTATTTGCAGATAACCAGACTAGTTAGTGTTTTTACCTGCTGGTCAGGCTGGATCATTGCCAGTTGGCAGTGAAAGAGAATAGGAAAACTTAAGTGCTAGATACATAGTTTTTATTTTTTTAATATCATGAGCTAGAAATCGTAATGGCTTTATGTCTGTTTGAATTCATATATGAGCAAAGTAAATTTTCATGGCCTGGTACTTCGTTTGGCATGTGCCCGGAGCTTGATGGAGGACAGTCCCTTGTAAGAGGGCAGGAATTGAAGGACAGAGCGAAGCCTCACAGCTGCATTGGTCAAAACTCCTTAGGTGTCTGGTGCCTCCATTGTAATATGCGTACGTGCTCATACAACATTGCATGTCCTGTTAACTTGGAGGAAACCCATAAAATAAAGGCTGTTTTTTTTTTCTGACAACCTGTTGACTAAATTGACCATTTACTGCCAAAGAAGGAAGAAGGAGGTCTATCTTTAGAGAGTGATCAGTGGCACATTGCAAAGCTTGATCTTTTCTGCATCCTGACCTTTGGGGAGAAGAGAGGAGTCTTTGGTTGGTGCTGTGAGCTCCTTCATGGTTCTGAGAACTTACTGCATTCATTTGCTTTAAACATCTGAATTCTCTCTCTCTCTCTCTATCGCCCTTTTTTTTTCTCTCTCTCTTTTTAATTTAGTTAAAGGTAGTTGTTGACTGAGTCACTGCCCTTATTTCTTTAAATGGATTTTATATTTAGTTTTATTTATTTATATTGGAATTTCCTCCTTGAGCACTGACACTTTTCCTACAGAGGTATGGCTTTCATGGGTTCTTTTTATGCTGAACAGCATCAGTAATTATAGAGGCGATGTATATTTCAGTAGATCGTGGTTTCCTTAAAAATATAGCTCTATTTTAGCCAGGATCATAGTTTGGGAAGATGGATCATGTTGAAACACAGTGTGATGACAAAGGGTTTGTTGGCTGGTATCACAGTGCTAAGCTTTTAACAAATGCGGAAGAGTATCCAAAAGTCTGAAGAAGGCTTAAGAGCAATGTGGTACATGTGATCTAGTGCTAAGGAATAAAATGATCCTTAGGGTTTTTTTTTTTTTTTTAAAGGAGGGAACTTCTGTCTAGAAATTCACACAAAGGAGTGCAGATGGTTTCCGAGAAGTCTGTGGCACATCAGTGACTGCCTTTTTTTTTTCCCCCTCTTTAAAATAACAAAAAGATCCGCAATTCCGTCATGTCTCTATATTGAGCATAATGCATAGTGCATTTAGGACTATGTGTTTTTAAATAGGACTAAAGCTTCAGGGGGATGGGGTACGTATATCTGCAGCGCCTTTTGATTTTTTTTTATGCTATCTTGCAGTGTTTTGGTTGTTTCATCATGTGCATTGAAGAAAAAAACTGTCTGAATGTAATGCGAAGCATTGCTATAAGCCCACAGGGATCCTTTCCCTTGTTCATAAGAAATGTTTTAGTATAAAAGGGCTGGATGTATTGACGGTAACAGCAGCAAATTGTTTGGGTTCCCCTTCCCAGCCACTTTGTTTAAATGTTGATCCTTTTATATGAAAAAATAAGGTGAAAATAAACTCAATATTTTGTCACTGGTATATGAAATGCTGTGTTTTAAATGTGGTCCGTATAGGTTGGTAATTTAGATGGCAGTCTTTAAAAGTTGTCTTTTTTTAGGGGAAATCTCTTTGCTGTAAGGAAAAGATAGGAAGCGTACTGTAAATGTAGAAGTACTCGGTCCTGTATGTCATTTTGGTTGTTATGGAAAAGTATTGTAAAGTTCTGTTGTCGTAACATGGCTTGCTTCCTGGGGCTTCTGTCCTGCAGTGCTGCCTCGACATTCGGGTTCTCCCTTCCCCACTTTTTTTTTTTTTTTTTGATAGCATGGAATGCTTCGTATGTGCTTTGGTTTGGAAGTTGAAAGATTAAAAAGTTGAGGCGTAGGCTTTTTGGTCAATTGTGTGCGTTCTTGCTTCTACTTTTTATTTTAAAATATTTTGTAAATTAAATTTATTTAGAAAAAAATACTTGGCTGCTCCTGGTGCCTTACGGAAGGTCCTGTTCTGGTTTTCGCTCGTGTTCGTTCGTGCCCGGCGCCATCACCTCTCCCTTCACCCTGGGCAGGGGCGGGCTCGGCTCAAGCCCCGCCCCGCATCACCCGGGTAACGCTGTGCGGCCGTTTAAACCAAACGGCGGG